GTTCCTTTATTGGGATTTTTTAAAGTTAATGAAAATAAAAGATTAGTCATATTATACATCAAAATTATGTTAAAAGTACAAAAAACAACTTCTAACCATCAGTGAAGGAACAGGCATGTTTCTTCACTGGGAATAGATTTCCCAGTGAATGAACAGTATGTGTGAAATATGATTTTACATGGATAATTAGTAGTTCTGCGATATAGAGGACACCTAAAATTCAGTTAAATGTTGTATGAATAGTTCCTATAACAATTTCATTTCAAAAGGCAAATTTAATTGCTAAATTTATTTAAAGAATTACAATAATAATTTTTTAATTATTTATCTTTATAAATGTAGTGATTAGTTATTACATCATACCTTAGACACCTTAATAAACTATGCTTACTGACTAAGTATAACAACTAAATATAATAATAAAACCTTGAATAGAAAATTTCCTTGCAGGCTTTTGTGCCAATAATTAGCTAAATTATTATCTTATTGCGGTCTTTAACGTCCTTACGGGAACTGGTAGGAAAAATCCATTTAAAGACAATCATCCAGGTGAAAAATGGGTAACCTTTTTTTTTAAGGCGACATCCACCAAGAACTCAGTGCAATGTGAAGATAATTTCAAAAGGCAAAACTTCCCTCAGAGAATAATATTCGAAATACTGGTTTTAAGAGCTCTGAAAGAATCTTTAGGAGGGAAGTGGCCCTGGCATCCTTTTAGAAAGTGATTGCATTTACAATGCGAACGAAACAAGAGTTGAATACTGCCCTTAAACGGGAAAAATCTTTGGCCCTAAGAATTATAAGGATTTATATTCTAAAATACCTAGGAAAGAAAAAAGTACCTCCATTGGTAGTTTTTCCTTACTGAAGAATTCTTTGAGATATTACAGAATCAGTCACTTCTATATATTTCATTGGAAAAAGCGATTCATAAAATGAAACGATGACCGCAGAAACATTTTACAAATATAATGCAGATGTTTCTACCCATGGCTAATTAAAAATGCTATCAAATTCCCTATTTTGCTTCCAGAGGCGTATCTATGGAAAGAAGCGCCTATGGCAAACCTCTTACTGGCGCCCTTACTAAAATATTAAAAAATTTTTTTTTATCCAATACAAAATAAAAGCATTGTTTGAAGTATTTAACTCTTTTGACAATATCACAAAAAGATTGAATTGAATTTAAAAAAAAAATTTGATAAATAAATAAATATTAAATATAACAATAAAATTATCTCTTTTTAATTGTTATGCATTCACGTGTATTCGAAATCCTCATCGGTAAGAAATTAAAATACCTTTTTTATCATATTTATAGAAGATTCTATTGCGTTTTTTCAATTGTCAATAAAAATTCTAAGAAGTTGTTTAATTAAGCACAATTATATTTTAAAGTTTTACAAATATAATTTGGTAACAGAATTACGTACACACAACAAATGTAGCTCTGANAGGAAAGAAAAAGTACCTCCATTGGTAGTTTTTCCTTACTGAAGAATTCTTTGAGATATTACAGAATCAGTCCCTGCTATATATTTAATTGGAAAAGGTGATTCATGAAATAAAACGATGACCGCAGCAACATTTTACAAATATATTGCAAATGTTTCTACCCATGGCTAATTAAAAATGCTATCAAATTTCCTATTTTGCTTCTTCTGGATAGGTATAAATTTCATATCAATTTGAAACTGAGCAAGTTTTGTTCATCAAAACAAATTTTCTGGTTTAGATTTCTGCCTATTTCATGGAAATCTCCCGTTAGATCCTGAAAACAAAAGAATTGTAAAACAATATTTCGAGAAAATTTTACATCCATTTTTAAATAAGATTTTGAGGCATCAACTGATGAAGTTAAAATGCTTTTATGAAATGCGATATTTTTCCATTCGATGTAGAAAACGTTGACTTTAACAAATGCATGCAAAACAGGCACAAAGAGAGCAAGACAGCTTATCAACAAAACACATGCTTCGAGTGTAACGATGCACTATTTCTTCAGAAGCTTGAGAAGGAAATCTCACAAGTTATGTTGCAAATTTTTAAAGGAACATTGACAGAAAAGTTTAATCTCCCAAATGTCCAATAGCCTGTGCTTTTCTCAATATGAAAGAATTTATTTCAAAAAGAACATTTGGTTAATCAAACTTTGGCACTGAAGCTGATACAACTAACATGAAAGAATTTTGAAAACTGATTTTGAGATAAGTCCTCTTGAGGCATTGTTTGTTGCAAAAACATTTAGTTCCATAAGTAAATGGCAAGTACTGCTGAAGACCCACTAGATATAAGTCAATGAGAACTTCGAAACTCCTTTTTCTCATTTGTTATCCAGTGAGGAATTCTAGAAATGGTACTGGAAAGACAAAAGAAATTTTGAAGATACATTTACATTGGCCAAAAATTTGGAAAAAAGAGGAAGGTTAAATCAAAAGAAAAATAAATGAATTACTTTTTTGCATTGACTTCAGAAAAAGAACGAAAATTTAAAGAGATTGAAAGAGCTGAAAAAAAAGTTAAAACAGAAAGTATGACGAAGAGAAAAAAAATACTTAAAAAGATTTTTAAAAAAAGGCTTCAAAAAATATGGGGAAAAGAGTAAACGAAAAAGTGATCTAATTATAATAATAGTAAAAACATCATCGGATTACACAATGATAAACATTCATAATTTAGAACGACTATTTAACTGTGAGAAAAAAAATTAAAAACATTTTTTTTTAAATTATGTATTCAAACATATTTTACTTTCCATTCCATGACTGAAAAAAAAGTAACATTTTCCACGTTAACTGTGGCTATATGTTGTAATTCGAAGAAAAATCTTGTTTTTAGACATTTGTGTGGCCTATGGATTCCTAACGAGCATCAAACATTCTCAAATTAAGTGTTCATTCACTGGAAAATTTAGTGTTTATTCGCTAATAAGAACTGTTCGTTCACTGGGTTATCTTACTACCTATCCTTCAAATCAACAAAAGCTTAAAACAATGTTATGAAAGTTATCTAAATTTCTTTTTGCATAATTTGCATTTAATAACAAATATGTCGACACCATCATTTAGCTAAAATTACAAATTTTGAAATTTTTTTTTTAAAGGCAAGCTAAGTTTAAGTGTTCCTTCACTGGTTAGTTTACCATATAAGATGTTGAGAAATTTGCGATGTTGTGACAGATGCTTAAAAATGTTGACTACGTATTTTTATTAATACTTATAAAATATATATTCAAGAAATTGATAAATATTTTATTCTAAATCTATGCATACGCATGTATATTACTGAAATTGTATCAGTTATTGAGAAAAAAACTAAAAAATAATCACATTAAATAAGCACAATCTGTTGTATAATCATATTCTATCAGAAGCATGCTTTTATAAAACTCGGCATTCCTTGAATAAAATGTTTTTAATTCAATAAAATGTTTCATTCAAATTTCTTTACTAAATTGCAAATAATAAAAATAAAAAGATTAGCAAACGATTATCAGCGAAAAAAATATGAATGAAATTTTACGCTACGCGCGCTAAGTCAAGTTTCTCATAAGTTTATCACATTTTAATATTAATAGCCCCATTTAATTATTTCTTCATTGTCGCCAAATTATTTTTTCAAAAATAATTAATTTTAATTTTTCTCATCTTCTAATAAATAAAAACAGTTGAAACTTTAGATTTTTCAATTGAAAAATATGTAGAATAATATGGTATAAAAATAATTCATGCCTTACAATTCAAAATTTTTTCATCCTCAATTTAATTAAATAATAAAAAATAATTATTAAAAATTATTTTTTTCATGAAATTATCTTTGGGTAAATGAGTTTTATGAGTGGGTGCAATTTTCTTTGAATCGCTTTATGAGTTTTAAAAATATGACTGAAAACGTAAAAAGTGAAATTATCATTAAGGGGTACGAACTTTGGATCACTCTCCTGAACTATAAGGACCCCCTACATTTTGAAGATTAAGAATCCAAATATGTAAAAAAATATATATGTTTATTCATAGAAAGTACGTTTTTGTGTCTGATTTCGTAACTTAATTAATAGCTAGCACTAATTAATTAGCATATTTGAGGTCAACCCCAGGAAAGATAAAGATTGACACTTAGTTCGTGAAAATCCGACCATTAGAACAAAAGTTATTCAGGGTAATTCGTTTTTTTTTTTTTGCGGACTGTACATATAAAAATTTTAGTAGATGCAAACAAAAATTCACATCAAGATTTTTTTATTATTATTAATTTATTATAAGTATCTTAATATATGTAGCATCTTATGTAAAGTATTGTATTATATGTAGCCTTTTTTTTTTTTTTTATAAAGAAGGAAGGGTTTTTATAGTAGTCATATGACCCTCCTCTTGTANAAGAAGGAAGTGTTTTTATAGTAGTCATATGACCCTCCTCTTGTAAAAAAAAAAACCACTCTTCCATTTCATTTGCTTACAGTATACTTGAAATGACTGTAATTGACTATTTTCTGGCAAATGTAAAAATTCAAATTAAACAAGAAGAATCCAAACTGGTGTGAGTTTGTAAAGAGTAAAATATTTCAAACCTTTTTAATAAACAGTTTATTGTGATACATTTAAAATTAATTTATAAGTATGCAATCTCAAAAATGTTTTTTTACAATCTTTCAGGCCTTATAAGCCTAAGAAAATACTATTTACAAAAGTCTTTATAAAAATTATTTAGCTAATTTTCCAAAATTTTGCTATGTACAATTTATAAACATCTAAAATGTGTTTTAGTACATTTTTTATTATTAAAAAGATAAATTTATAAACAAAATTAATATAGGTCATTTAATTTATAAAATTATTCATACAAAACCTTTTTTTATACATAAAAAAGTTTCAAAAACAATACTAATTAGCGTTTTTTTTTTCTTCAAATTTTGTATTTTACCACTGAAAATTATATTTGTGTAAAAATATGTTGTTGCTGATTGATTCAGTGGCGAATGGGCGCATTAAATAAAGAGGCCATTTTAGATAACACATTTAATAATAATAAACAATAAAATAATATGATGGTACAAAATAGGACTTTCCAATAAGCCACCCAGTTCAATCCATTGACTGCCACACAAGTGATTACAGAGTTATATGAGCGATTACAACGCCCTCTTTCAATCGGGCAGAAATTCATAACATATGTTAATCTGACAATTCATTTTCTTATCATTAATAAATTAAATTTAAAAAAAATAGTAAATAATTATAAAACATGTTTTTTTCTAATTAATAAAAGCATTAGTTTTTAAAATAAGATATACCAAAACAATATTTGGGTAATAAAACTATTTTTAATAACATCTTTTAAATTCAAAATTTGATAGCAAAAAACATTATATTTCTTTATAGACAACATCCATAAAATAATTTTCCTTCACTTAAACGCAATAGAACGGCCTTATCTCATTTTAATTAAAGCAAATATGGGACATTACAAAAATAAGTTATTCAACTGAGTTCGACTTTCTGAATTTGGTATAAAAAAAAACATTAAAATATTCTTTTGTAACATAAAAAAATTAACATTATCTGAAATCTTCTAAATCGAAACAATCTCAGACTGTCTTTTAGTACACTCGCTTTAAGTTTCAGAAATGAAAGAAACTAAAATTAAATATAAAGAATGCAATTGTTATTTCTTTCATTATAAATATATAAGATAAAAAGTAAAAATAATAATTTCATAACTTTGAATTCATAAACTTGATATAAATAATTACTATAAATTGGGTATTACAGTCTGAAATGATAATAAAGAACTTTTCACACATGAAGATAAATCATTCAAAAAAGCTTAACATGTTCATCAGAAGTCGTAACAATCATCTTTGCAATCACCTGAAATAAAAAATACATAAATAAAAACAAAAAAATTATTCTATAAAAAAAAATCTAAAATGTTATATAGGATGAAAAAACTTAGTTTTTTTCTTTTTTCTTAAACAAAAAAATTCTTTGAAAATTTTAAAAATTATTAACCTTACATTCTTATATCATAATATTAACATGACTAAGCGGTTGCAAACCAAAGTGGTCGCAAATATGAAGAAAAAATAGTTTTTTTAAAAAACCAATTATATTGAATTTCAATGTCTTCGGTAAATGGAGGCATAAATTTTATTACAAAAACAAAATTCCTTACTTTTCACAACTAGTACTTTCAAGAGCCCTGTAGCAAAATTAATGTGGCACAGTGGCACTAAACAGACCTATTATTACAGACTCTGCCAATTAATACTTATGGTGTAGCATATCAATATAGTTTTTTGATATTAAGATCAAGGTAATAGCTAAATATTGAAGTTTTATGATAGGTTGAGTTTTAAGTACACTTTTTGAATCATTTTCACAATTAATTTTTTAAAAAAAGTCAGATTTTTGTAAGATTGTCTCAAATACTATTTAACAGATTTTTTTTTTGCCCTTCAAATTTTCTATTTTACCATTCAAAATTATGTAAATTACGTTGGTGTAAAAATATGACACCATACAATTCGTATTTTGCCATTCAAAATTACGTAAATTATATTGGTGTAAAAATATGTCAATCTAACAATTTATCTTTTTTCATCATTAATAAATTAAATAAAATATAATAAATAATTATAAAACATGGTATTTTGTACACTGTGATTGGAAAAACTAGTTTTACAACTGTATATTGAAACGAATTTTCTAATTGATATAGCGAAGTATGCAAAAATATGAAATTAACATTTAGGGGTTAACACTTTTGATGGCTCTCTTAAGTAAACTATCGGGACTAAATTTTCTAGTTAATGGCTACTCCTCTCTATATTATAAGGGGTTCAGAACCCAAATCCATCAACAAAAAAGGCACGTTTATTTAGAGAAAGTTCATTTTTTTGTATGATTTCCCCTGTATGATTTTCCCATTTTTTGTATGATTTTCCCATTTTTTGTATGATTCATTTTGTATGATCTGCCCTAAATAATTAGCATATTTGAGGTCCCCACCCCCTTTAAATATTAAAATTGAGTCCTTATACTTGAAAATCCAACCATTAGATCAAAAGTTATTCAGGATGATTTGTATAGCATACAATTAAAAAATTTTGGCAGTTATCAAACAAAACAATTAGAAATAATAAGTTAAATAAATTTCGAAATTGTAAGAAAAATTCAAAAACCAAGATTGCAAATATTATTGCATGTTATCAGATATTATATTGAAAACATAAAATGCTGCAATATTTTTCTTATTTATTTATAAAATAGGGATGATAAAAAAAAAAAAGATTATTTTTTCCCTTCTATAATAACACTTATAAATAACTTCTTAATTATCCTCATGAAAATAATCAGTTTGTAAGCATCTTTTAAATTTTTATAATTCCTTAAAATTATTATTTTTTAATTTAAGTTGTCATTAAAGTTTACAGAAAACAACTGAGGAAAGTAAAGGCTTCCAAAATAATATAGTAATTAATCCAAAAATTTATTATAGCAAAGAGTTGTGCAATACTTAGGAAAGTTCCCAACTTTATCTATCTTACTTTCATTAACTGTTAATAAAACATAAAAACTAAGAGACAAATTTTGTTAATTATTAAGTTCAGAGCAAAAATTTTAGTACCATTTTTATTGTGACATTATTAAAGAATGTTTGATAAAAAAAAAAAATTATAAACTTTTACAATTTTTTTAAGTTAAAAAGTTTGGCTGAGTTAAAAATTTTGAATATAGATTCCTTATTAAGCAAACTAAAATGACAATGAGTACTCTATGATACATATAATCTAAATACTGCTTTAACAGTAAACTTCTTTTTATTTAAAAAAAAAAAAATAGAAGAAACTTACTACTAGAATATATTTATCAATAACTAGCTCATAAATAAATCCTATGGAATCAAATAGAAATACAGAGAATCACACCATCGTAGAGAATTACATATCTTAGAGAAGTGTATTTAAATTAAACAATAATAAGGTTATACTTCTTTATGATATGAAGAAGTCATATAATCTTAATACTAATTTAATAAATGATAAGGAATTAACTTCTCTTTTTAAAAAAATGAAGGAACTTACCAATAGAATATATTTATACATTTTAGCAACTATTATTATTAGAATATCTTTATACATTAGCAACTATTCTTGCAACATTATTTTCTATAACAATTTGCACTGAGTCAGGATCAACTCTTTTAGGGCGAGGTTTAGAACGACGAACTGGTTTTTTCTTCACACGCTTCTTAACAAATCTCGCTATCACATTACCCTCTATATCAAGAAATGTATAGGACATTGGTTGGTGTTTCAGTTTTGAAGATTCACCTAAATAAAAGAAGAAAAACAACAACTTATAAACTGAACATTCAAATTCTAGAAAATGGAATATAACATTTTCTTTCATTTTGGTTTTAGCTTAAATTGTATTTAATATTTTTTAAAAAAATATTTTACTTAATAATTGCCTTTCAATCATCTAAAAAAAGTTGTTAATCATCTTTCTGAACAGAAGATAATAATCTGCCATTGTCTCTCTTTGGACAGCTAAAAAACTTTATGATGCAATTTTTATTCCTAAATTGAACTTTTAAAATGAGATAGACACATTTAAGTTTTACAATTTATTGTTAAAAATTTTTTTCACTTGTTTTAATAATGTATTTAACTTCCTTGTAATAAAACCTTTTTTTTTTCACAGGTGTTAATAATACAACAAATATAATTTGAGCTTATTATTTACAAAATTAATGCATCTCAATCGGGATTATTTACATACACTGGTAAATATAATCCATACAAGTAAAGGTGATTTCTAGCTGTTTTAATAATACACTAAATTTGCTTGTTACAAGTCCCTTTTTTTCACCAGTCTTAACAATATAATTAATACAACAGTGCTAATTATATACAAATTTAATACATATCAATTGGGATTATTTATTTACATTGTTAAATATTTAATTATTTTTTATTCTAGCTTTGAATAAATAACTTTATGGTTTTTTTTATAATTAACTATCCCATAAATTTTGACAATAAACAATTTTGATAACAATAAATTATCCCATACAATTAATAATCCCATAAAATTAACAATTTACGGGATTTCTACTATTTATATTTTTATGCTATTTGAAGTCATAACTTAACAATTTATTTTCATTTTAATTATCAGGGTTAGGAAGAAATGCATTTTCTCAGAATAATTATTTTGAATCTGTTTATACAACTGTGACTTCTAAATATCAATTAGATAATCTTTAAATTTCTAACCTTTTGAATAGTTACAATTTTTATTGATAGAGAATATTACATTGATATAACACTTCAAATTTACTATCATTACCCTTTAAAAAGACTTATTATTGTCATAAAAATATTTAGGGCCTTATTAATTTCTCTTTTTATTAGTTTTACAAACAGATAGAAAAACTTGGAAGTTAACATTGAAACTTTTGAGAAAACAAAAGTTAAATATGAAACAAAAATATTTGTTAGGTACATAAATTATTTTAATTGTAAATGATAACTTATGATTCGAGTGAACAATTTATTAAAAATCAAGTTCATATAAAAGCAATCATTCAATAATAAATATTTTAGCAAACTTTTTGGTGGCACTTTATATTTTATGATACATAATTATATCTCGAATATGTACTCTTAGATTCATGTTTAGAAGAAGTGTGTACTAGTTTATAGTTAACTGTTATTAGTTTGACTAGTCTAAACAGATAAAATATTTCTATATTAGGCAGTGTGTAGTTTTTTATTATCTGTACATAATACAGAAGTTAGTTAAGTTAAATTTATCATAAAGTTAGTATCATCTAAACTAATTTAGCTAAATTAACATTTTCATCTTATTAATATTTAGATTTTTATAAAAATTTCTTTTAGAATTTAAAATATATATTTAAAAAAAATCTGAAAGTTTTAAAACCATATAAGTCAGAAACATAAAATTTTAATTACATTAGTTCTTATTAGGACTGGGCTATAAATCGACGTATCGCGACATATCGATTTAATGCATACATCAGCAAGCCGATACAGCAACTTCTGTTTCAGGCTATGAATCAGAAATTTGATTTAAGCTAGGGGTGCACAACCTGCGACCCGCGGGNATATTTGAATGATATACAATGGAGTTTACTAGTCTCCAAAACGATCTGAACAGGCTATGAATCAGAAATTTGATTTAAGCCGTAGACTAAAGACGATGAGTGCAAAACGATGTATCGATATAAGACGCGATACATCGCGATGCAAAACTGACGATGCATCACGATATAAAATTTCTTATATCGCCCAGTCCTAGTTCTTATGGAAAATATTAAAACTTAAAATTCCTTATACTCTTGAATCAATCTAATAATTTATATGAAAAGAAACCACTTGAAGGAAATCATCTAACTTAAAAAAAAAAAAAAAAACATTTAGCAAGCCAAATGACCAGGAAGAGAAAAATCAAAATACCAAGTAGTAATAGAATATTTAGAGCCTAATACCAGTCTAAAATCACATTTTGCACATAATAAAGATACAAACCTGATTCAGTGTTTGGATCATATACTTCATCGTTATCTAAAATACTTTGCACATCTTCAATTCTTATTTCAGAAGGTGAGTTAATTTCACTCTCAATTTTTATCTCAGGCTCAAGACCATGATCTAAAAAAATACACCATGTCAAAAGTAAGATACTTCTTTATTAAAAGACTAAAACAAATTAACAATAACTTTGCATTAGGTAACTATTTTGGAAATTTACATCACATTAGATACTTATTACTATATTACCTATTATTCTATATAATTTAAACATCGCTGAAGCCAATAATTGTCTGGCAATTTCTTAATGGTACACTTTAACAAATTAGAAACCAAACTAACCATAAATATCTTCAATATATTTATAGTTCTTCAATATATTTATAGATATTTCCTATTTATAGATTTCGCAATTTAGAAATCATAAGAATGCAATAAAATATTCACTTGTAAATGTTTAATGTAGAATAATATTTTAAATCTCGTAAATAAGAATCATAAAGTACAATATTTAAATAGCGTAAATAATAATCGCAATGCGCAACTTTCAAATCAGGTGAATATGAAAATCGATGATAGATATTAAAATCGTGTGAATAAGAATCGAGATATTTTCAGAGTCTGGGCTTGGGATTTCTAAAAGGCTTGTTTTTGTTTATGCATAAAAAAAATTAAGATTAATTGAATGAGCAAATAAATGCTTTCCAAGCAAATCCACCTCTATTTTCTTTCTTCGTTTGCTTTCACGCCAGAAAACAGGAAGCAGAGACGTCTGAATTATGAAAATATGTGCTATCCGGCGGACAGATAAAAATACAGAAAATCTTCTTTTCTGTGCGTAAAATCGGGGGAAATAGCTAAAATAAGTAAAATTGCAGAAGAGATAGCAGCTAGGACGTAGTTTGAATTTTCTGTTTGTCTTTGAAAATCGTAAATAAATTTAATTCTTTTATTTCAACGACTAAATTTTAATAAAAAAAGTGGGTATTCATTAAAAAAACCGAAACTTTTAGAGAATTTGAGTTTTTGATAAAAAGGCTGAAATCCAAGAAACAAAAGCAAAAAAATCTCATCCCTATATTAAGGTCAATCAGTTTTATCCCAAGCAAATGATTTTTAGAGAAACTTAAGAGGAAGGAATGAGGACTTTGATACTTTCGCTCTGCGGAAAAAAAAGGAAAAGTTTGAAAAAAGCAGAAATTACATCCCTGTTTGAAGCTACATTAAAATTTGCATGAAATATCTCAATAGAATTGTCATTTTTTTATTAAAACGAATGTTTAAAATTAGGAAAATTTTAAAATAAAACAATCCAAAAAAGATTTTGTAAGGACACTGATAACACTAAGTCATTTCTCAAAATGATGTGACATTTTAGATAACTAACATCTTTAGAGGTTATTGCAACAGCAGAAAGAAACGCTACTTCCATAGAGCTTCAATGATGTTGGAAATTCTTCAATTTTTCAGTAAATATCAAAAAATGAATTAAAAATTCGTGACAAATGATTTCATTTTCTTAATCAGCATCAGGAATTACTGTTTACCTTCTCAAAAAATAATAATAATAACTAAATAAATAACTCCAAGATTTCTAGATGTCAGTAGAATATTTGAATGATATACAATGGAGTTTACTAGTCTCCAAAACGATCTGAACAGATATTTCTAGCATTAACAGAGAAGTATTTTTGACAATAAACGAAAAAATAAAGAAGTATAAAAGATGGATTAAGGTACAACTACATAAATTTCAAATATTAGATTAAAACACAGAATAAAAAAATGTGCAGAAAGGAAACATTTTTGTAGAAGTATCTACACCAGAGGGCACCAAAGTGGTCCATATAGATCCCCAGAGGTCTATTTGACAAAAGCGGGGGTTGATCAGAGTCAAGGGGTCGAATGGGGATCGATCCAATTCAGAAGGGTCGATCGGGGGTCGAAGAAAAAACAGTTCTTAATACGCAAATCACACATACCTATTTAAGTATGTAAAATTTGTGAATTTTTTTATAATTGACTTGATATCAGTTTCTTTATAAAACATAAATTAATAAACGTATATTTATTCGGGTGAAACAAGTATTTACGTACCAGCGCACAGTGATGCGAACTCAGCACAGTTTATAAGTCATATGCATATGTGCGCTTGTCCAAATGTCACGTGGGAGGAGCATTGATGGTACAAATGCAAATATTATATGCAGTTTCAGCTATCTTTGTAAAGTGTGAACAGTGTTGAATATTTGCAGTGTCGTTATTAAAACTTTTATAGTTTTCGATAATTAGTTATTGTTTCGATAAAACCATTCGTTTAGTTTAAAGAACGATTTTAATTAACAGTGTATGTAAAAAAAGAAAAGCATTAATAATAGGGAATAGTACAGACCGCGACAAAACTATAGCACACTTTGTATTTTTTTACAAAAATTACACAATTGACCAATTTTGACAAAAATTAAAATTGACCAATTTTGAACATAATATAGCTAACCTTGCAAAAAAACACCAGGCACACCCATCTCATTGATTAAGAAGCAATAAATATATAGTTACTTTGCTTATTATTTCTACTTATTCATAATTATTTATCAGTGTTTTCAGTACAGCGCGAGAATCTCGCACATTTTTTTCTTTTCTCGCATTAAAAAATTATTACCGCGAGAAATTCGCGCATTCTATAGATCAATTTCAAAATTCACCAATTTCTCGGAATTTTGGAAAAAGCTTCGAATTACGCCATTTAGAATAAAATCCGCTTCACTTTTCTTCCTGGATCTTTCATTATTTTCAACATCTGCCCCATTANATCAACCATGTAAACAATTTGTTAATGATTAATATTGAGGGCCCTGAAAGTGCATTTAACTTTCAAGAAGCATTTGTAAAATGGGCAAACATGAAAGAAAGGAAGATTGTTAATTATAAACCAAAATGTTTTGATAAATAATAAATGTGTTTTTTTAGTTATAGGTATTCTTTTTTATATTCTTGTACATTAAGCTATTCTTTGTCAGATAACTTACAGTACTTGTTTGATATAAAGTAATTTTATAAGCCTAATGGCATTTTAGCATTTTGCTAAAACTTTTTTTCAGATTTTAGCTTTTTTGCTAATGAATTTTTAGACTCAGCTTAAACCCTGGTGTTGGTGCAAGCAAATACTAATATAAAAATATCTCCATGTCATATGAATTAAATTAAAAAGATATCTGCAAGGAAAATAAAATTACTGCTGTTAAGTCTCAAAGAGAGGCTTACCTGATGCAAAATCTTGAGCCTCAGACTCAGAATCACTTGTTGATTCATTATTAGTATCTAAAACTGGCACCTCACCTTTGTCACATAACACTTTACGAAACCTTTTAGATTCATGTTTAGAATATTTAAACTTGAAAAGTGTAGGAATATAATCAGGATGGGCTGGATGTCTAGATGGTTTTCCTAAAAGGAATAAACCTCATCAATATCAACACACACAAGTCTGAATAGGTTTAAGCAGCCTACTGCAAACGAGTTGAAATTAAAAAATTGAAAAAAAGAAAAGACTTTTAAAATATTGAAAATGCTCATAAATTTATATTAATTAGACTATATAAATCGATCGTACTATTCCATGCTATAAAAATTTTTTTTTAGGAATTTGTCTTATTTCCTTTTAGTTTAAATTTCAATATTTACCAAAATGAATTCCAATAAGCCGTATTGAATTTTTAAAAATAGAACCACTGCAAAAATATATAACTAAGAAAATATATAATCGATTTCATACTTAAAATTTTTTTTGCGTGTATATGTTTGCTTGAGGGAGCAACGAATTAAACCATTTAAGTTAATCCCTTCAATGATTTTTTTAAATTTAACTTCTTACAATTTCTTTGAAGAAAATGCCAAGACTTAGTAATTATTCAGCAGCAGATCACGATACAAAAATCTTTTCCCTGTATTAATTGGTTTCTTGTGGAATAACAATTTAATGGTCAACTTTTAAAAAAAGGTTATTATAATTAATTTCGCAAGTTGGATGCTAGCTGTGAAAATCTAAGGCAATTTTTTCTTATCATGATCTGAGACAGAATTATTGGAAACTTTCGGGCAGCAGCCCGTGAGGAGCTAAAACAACATTGAAGTTCAGGGGGACTCGGAGGGTATAACTCATAGCCACCCATATTACATTTAAAAAATAAATAAATAAATTCAAGGCAAATTTTAATATTTTTAGAATTTATATGGCGCTTTTACGATTGTAAGTAACCACTAGTAGGACAACAATTTAATGTACAGGAAAGCGATACAGAGGTAGCCAATTTATCAAGCTTCACTGAATATGTTTCAAACTAACTACACCGAATTCTAAAAAAATAATTTTAAAAAATTCTTTATATGACATTCGGATAACCAGTATGCTTTGGTGAAAAGGGAATAACTCATATTTCACTAAACAAGTGAAAACATTTTCTAATAAACCCTCAATATTTAAAACAAATAAATAAATAAAAAAACGGAAAAACTTTGTTTATTTTTACAGATTTAATAAGAAGGTTTACTTTTAATTTACTCCTTACAAGAATATATTTTTTATCTACCTTATACCTTAAAAAATACTCTATAAGATTCAAATCTCAAAAATCATGAGATTTTTCTTTCACAAATGCAAAAGTTATCATAAAAGAAAATTAGAATTAAAAAAAAAAAATTTTAATTTTCAAAGGCTATAATCTTTAAAACAAACAATTACATGCTAAGTNCCCTTTCCGTCGTGATGTCATGATCGGGTTTCTCTTTTTCCTCCTACCCCTTGGCGGCCTATCTAAATAGGTCGCCAAAAAATTGGCGGCACTTGGCCTTGCCGTAGTTATGATAATCATCCCAAAAAAAAAAACGGAAAAACTTTGTTTCCTTACAAGAATATATTTTTTATCTACCTTATATCTTATAAAATACTCTATAAGATTCAAACGTATCTCAAAAATCATGAGATTTTCTTTCACAAATGCAAAAGTTATCATGAAAGAAAATTAGAATTTTTTAAAAAAAAAACACTTTAATTTTCTCCAGCTATAATCTTTAAAATAAACAATCACATGCTAAGTTTGATAGATGGTAAATAAACAAATATCAAACCTGTGACGAAGTGTGCCCCGCAAATACGAGTGTGCTTGTTCGGTACGAAATATTTTCGTCGCACAGCCAAAATCCAAAGAATGCGACGATTTTTTTGTGATGGAAAACGATAAAAACCTAATCCCTTACCCTTTTCAAATTTGTTTAAACACCCATATGCACAACATGTTGGTGTCATTTCAATTTAAGTTTCAGCGAAATGGAAATAATTACAAAATTATTTATTTATCTACCCAACCAAAACAATCACTAACCAACCATACAACTAGCGGACGTTTTTTAGATTGGGTTGGGTGAACGCAACGCATGCGCATGGTTGGCGTCAAAAGTTGGCGATGGTTGGAAGCTTTCGAGTTGGAGTTCGCTTCTCTGTGCATTTTTGCGTGAACCACTAATAAAATTTAATTCAATAGCTTTTTTATTTTATCAGTTAAGATCAAAACGACTCACAATTTTACAAAATACAAGTTTACTTCATGAGCAAAAGAAAAATTAACTCTGGATCAGATTTCCGTTTTTTTAAAATTAGTGGTGCAAATGGGGGGGGGGGGG